GCTGCATATGTGGGAGACCTTATCCTTCAACTACCTTCTTCTTCTTCTTTTTTAAGATTTTATTTATTTATTCGAGAGAGAGAGAGAGAGAGAGAGAGAGAGAGAGAGAGGCAGAGACACAGGCAGAAGGAGAAGCAGGCTCCATGCAGGAAGCCCAACAGAGGACTCGATCCCAGGTCTCCAGGATCAGGCCCCGGGCTGAAGGCGGTGCTAAACCGCTGAGCCACTCGAGCTGCCCCTTTAACTACCTTCTTAATGGATCTCATGATTGGGCCGCTGGCATCATTGTCTCAGCAGCTGACATGACATAGCCCCTTAAAGTCATTTTTAGGGTATATCACATTTGGAGACAGCAGTCAGGTACCCTTTGCTCCTCAGTAGCTAGCAAATGCCCTAACCCTGCAAGACACTTGTTCATCTCCATAGCTTAAGCCAAAGAACAATGGTGGAGTTTCAGGCAGAATGAGGCTGTCCAGGAGGGTGACAGGAGTGGAAGGTTTTCCCTGCAGCTCACATCACAGTAGGTTGGCCATTCCATCTGAGACCGCCAGGCTCGAGGAGGATGGTTAGGAGGATATTTCCTAAGCACTGTTCCCTTACCAGTGTTGGGTCAGGAGGAAATTGTACCTTAAGGGCAATTTTGAAATGTACTGATACAGAGGGTAGAACCTCTTTTCAGCCAAATTCCTGAGCATAACAGCTTCTATGAGGTCACCTGCTGAGAGCTGATGGCCACTGAAGAAATCCTGCCTGAGAATATTTTGAGCCACAGCATGCTTATAAATTTGACAAAAGAAATAATTTTCAAAAAATTAGTATTTTATATTATTTATTATTACTTATTCTATGCCAGGCACTAGTCGGAGTGTTTTATTACATTGACTCATTTACTTCCTACCATAAGACTGTGAGATCACTACCCACTCTATTTCACAGATGTGGAAACTGAGGCTCACAGAGAAGTTAAAGGGCTTACCCCAGGCCGCTTAGCTGTAAGCAGCAAAGCCAGGCTTCCAAGCCAGAGCCTTCACTGCTAGTTATGTGGCTTTGAGGGGCCGTGTATCAGGTCCTTACCCTTATTAGGGAACCTGGCTCTTTGTCCTTCACCTGAGCAGAAGGGCTCATGCTTTGAATCATCACTCAATTTTGGAAAATGTTGCTGCTTCTAAGAAACAACTAGTTAGAACATTTTTCCTGGCTTGACACTTCTGTTCTAAAATCCCTTTTCTCTGTCTCCTTGTATCATGTATATAATAATTACATATATATGTTACATATACCTATGTGTATATATCAAGAAACATAAATGTATATTCCTAAATCAGAATATTTTAACTAACAGATAAGCAAAATAAAAAAAGAGTTAAACAGTAAACCCAGGAAGAATTTCCTGCTGGCTCAACAAACACAATCACATCCATAAATACAACCACTGTCACTTTAATAAATAAAAGAGAAGAATAAACACAGGTCATGTGTCTTCACTGAATGGCCATTTGCTGTTGCCAGAGACTGAGCTACCGGCTGACACTCGGTATTGATACACAGAGCAGGTTATCATTGCGATTAGCTACCTGCAAACACTGGGCACTGGTATATGCTGAGCAATAGTGGACATTACTGCCCCTGGACTTTTTCTCTTTGTGGATATCAGCCGTTGGTGGGGGCTGTCATTGATGGACATTAAGTATCGATAAATATTAGGTATCAGTGAACATTTGCTCCCTTACCAGCATTAGCCAACACAGAACACTGAGCATTGATGGGCAAGGCCCCAGTAGCCTATGATGACCTCTACTGTCTTGGCAGAGGGTAGGCCCCTGCCACAGACATGCTTGGCAGTCTTGTACATAGAAACATCCTGTGAGCTGGTTTGGAAGCAGATGGTGGGTGCTAGCATGTATATCTTCATCTGCCCTCTCTGAGAACCCTTTGGCTACGACAATTTGGGGACCTCAGGGGATGGCACGATAACATCCACGGTGGGAAATTCCTGGGTTTGAAAGAATAATTGGTTCCCAGAGGGCGACGTTACACACAAATATACACAGATACTCCTCTGCCATCCTGACCAACATTGGGTGTTTGCTCCTTCCTTCTCTGTAAATGGTGTGATTAAAGCACAGCAGGGCTGGTTTCATGGGCTGTGGGACCTTAGGAGGGCCTTGGTTTAATGCCCTGCTCTTGCCATCTTGAAATTCTCAATAATTTTGAATGAGTCCCCGTATTGCCATTTTACACTGGGTCTCACAAATTATGTAACTAGTTCTGAAGCACAAAATCCAGGTCACCTGCCATGTGACCTTGGGCTGCTCTTCTCTGGGTCTCAGTCTCTGCATTTTTGATACAGGGCTGGGGGTGGGGGCGAGGAGATGGGGGGATGGAAAGGGAGGGGGAAAGACATTGACTTTGGTCTTTGTTTTTTCATGCTCTATTATGTAGAATTAATGATCTGATTGGAGATACTTAGAGTTGCATAACTTCCCTGATTTATTTTCAACAGAAAAATAAATAGAACCCAGTGTTTTTTTTTGTTTGTTTGTTTGTTTTTGGTTTCTCAGAGCACCTCTGCCCTTTCTAAGATGTAGAATCTGCACAGCTGGCCCAGCCACTGAAGTAGGACATGCAAGAATGATTCAAAATTGATCAGATGAAGCCAGGCCCAGGCTGTACCCTCATCTGTATGGTGACAATATTACCTGGGGCAGCTGTGGGGAGGAGGAAGTGGTATCTGTACTCCAAGTCCAAGGAATGTGTGTCTAGTAAGTGGCAGCTGTATTATTAGTGAAATGCAAGGAAATGTTTGTGAACCAGCCTGTGACATGATGACAAACTGTGCCTCGGTTGTCTGCTCATCCCTAAACTCAACTGATGTGTACTGAATACTGTGTATTCTATGTTTGGCACACAGAGCAAAGATCTTGTGGGTTATTGCTCTGCACCTCTACAATCCTAAATCTTTATGAAATTCTTCAGTCATTTTTTAAAAAAGATTTCATTCATTTATTTGAGAGAGCATGAGCAGGGAGGAAGGGCAGAGGGAGAGGGAAAAGCACACTCTCCACTGAGCAGGGAGCCCAACGTGGGGCTTGATCCTAGGATACTGAGATCACGACCTGGGCCAAAGGTGGACACCCATCTGACTGAGCCACCTAGGTGCCCCAAATTCTTCAGTTCTGAGTCCATTATCAAAATATGAGTCTAAGACTACCAGATTCTGTAATCTATTTCCTAAATCTATGGTTGAAGCAGGGAATAAGCATTTATGGAGTGTCTATTTTGTGCCAGGTACTGTGCTTGATGCTTTATGAACGTTACTTTATTTATGCCTACAGTCCTGTGGAGGGAGATATTTTCAGCCACATGCTCCAGGCTCAGAGAGGTAAAGTGATGTGGCCAAAGTTCCACAGCTGGTTTGTGACGGGCCCAAGATTCTAATTAATCCTTTTCTGCGAATCCCCAAAACGGAATCTTTGGACTCATCTCTATGATTCTGTAAGATTCTAATGTCTTCATTCTTGGCCCCAGGATCCCAGGAGGACAGGGTGCGGCGGCGCGAAGGCCTGGTGGTTAGGGGATGGAGATGCTGGCCACTTGGGCCTCCCCGGGGCCTGGGCCTGGGCCTGGCGCCGCGACGCCTCGGACCGGAGCTGTCTGGCCATGTGTGGCCACATGGTGGCGCTGCAGGCCGGGAGCCTCCGGAAGGGGCGTGGACGCAGGGTTAGGTGAGGGCCGCTGGCCCGCGGGGCCTCGGCTCTCCCTAAGGTTTGCGGGAGGCCAGGGCTGAGGGATGTGCGGGGTAGTGCCTGCACGGGAAGGAGGAGCCCCACAGTGTGACGGTCCCATCCTCACCTGTGGCTGCAGGCGTGAAGCTGCAGCCCAGGGCAGAGGTGACCTGCCCCAGAACTTGTCTCCTGCGGGAGGCCTGGCCTCCCCATCCTGCCTTCAGCACTGCTTTGTCCCCAATGTAAAGACACTTCTGATCCATGACCACCCCCTCTTCAAGGAGGACTTTGGGAGGGCCCAGCCTCACTGGGTTCAAGTCCCTAGGATCCCTCCCCTGCCCCTTCATTTGAAGGCTTTCTCGTAAGAGGGGATGAAGGAAGGCTGGAGAACCAGTCTGAGGACTGTGAGTGCTGGGGTCTCATCCTGATACCTACTTCCATGTTAACCGATGGGTGCTAGCCTCCTGCTCCTGGAGCCCAGCCTGGGTGGGGGTGTGGGGGGCAGTGGCAAGTGACACAATAGGCTAGCTTCCCAGCCCTACCCATAGCCTGAGTGTTCTGGGTTCTGTCCCTCCTCCTGAGTGTCCTCCCCCTCTGTCCAGGTCCACTTGGCTTTCTCAGCTCTGTGGACCAGTCTCCTCCAGGAAGCCTTCTTAATTCCATCACAAGGCTCTCACAGCTCCCTGTGCAGCTCTTGCGGTCAGGTACCTTCTGTATGTCCTCACTTACACTCCAAGGACATGAATCCCTTGGCACAGAGTACATATCAGAAAAAAACTTGTCGTTGTTGGTGATGGATGGTCCCACAGACCTTGGCTGGTTAGAGGGGACAACTGATAGACCTCAGAGCCATTCAGAGGAGCTGGAAGTAAGTTCCCTGTGACTGGAAGTATGCACATGGGAGTTAGGGTGCCACAGCAGGCAAAATGCCAAGGAGGACCAAGTACTGCTGGAGCTCAGATCAGGGAGGGGAAGGGGGGCCTTGGGGAAAGCTTCTGAGGAGGTGGGAACTGGGTCTAATAGAGTGGGGAGCAGCTGAGAGGCAGGGATGGGGGAAGGGCAGGGCCCATGACAAGGTCATGGACTTGAGGCAGCAGGGAGAGGGGAGAGAAGGGTAGACAGGGTGCAAGTCACAGTGAAAGGAGCAACCCATTCCTGAAGGACTTCCTCCTCATATCAGCACACCGTCCAAATCCTGTGAGGTTGCTGGGCTTTTCTGGAAGAACAAGCTTCCCAGGGCACATCTGTGGATGCGGGTGCAAGGATGGAAAGAGGGACTGTTTGTAGTGTTTATTAAATCAAGGACCAGGTAGGTGTAGGGTGGGCCTGGTGGGGGAGGATGGAGCTCTCACTGTCCTGTGGGCATCTCTGTGGGACCAGCCCATGGAGCCCCAATGGGCCACCTATGCCTGGCTTCTCCCCCAACACCTCCTCCCGCAAGGCATCCCCAGGACACAGCATTACAAAAGTGAACAAATGCAATGTTTTCCTTCTTTTACAAATGAAACGTTTCTAGCCCCTGCCGGCAGGGGTGGGGGGATGGGGGTGGTCCAAGTGACAGTCCATTACAAAGGCAACGATTTTTATAAAACAAATACTAAGGAAAGAGCCCAGGGCTGGGAAGCTGAGATGCCACCTGGGCAGAGCATAAACACTGATGGGGGTACCCGCCTCCTGATGGATGGATGAGATAGGGCCTTGGGCTCAGAGCTAGTGGGAGGCTGAACCCAGGAGGCCCCTTGGGGTTTCCAGAACTTCATTGACTTCCAAGACCTGGGTTTCGAGGCAGTACCTCAGGGGTCACTGGATGCATTTTCATTCTTGATGCTGGGGGACCCCATGCCAGAGTGGGGAAACTGGTAGGCCTCGAACTGGCTTGCCTGAAGCTTCCAGAGACTCCGCAGTGACCTGACTTAACCAGTGCCACACAGCTGGTTATGGAGCCCAGGGTCCCACCTCCGAGGTCCTTGCCTGTCCTGGGATGCGGGAGCCCGGGAAGGGGACAGAGGGCATGATTTAGAGAAGACAGAAAAGTAAAAGGGCCTCCCTGGGAGGCAGGGTGCTGGGGCCGGTCATGCCTCTGCTGCATTACCTCAGATTAGCCATGTTCCTTTTCTAGACCTCAGCTGCCCCCTCGGTTGCGAGGAGGTGCACTTGGTATTTTTTTCTAGTCCCTTCCATGACGAAGGTTCTACCCAGGTTCTAGAGGAAAAGAAAAGGAGGAAGGAGGCCTCGTGTGCCCAGAACAAAGAGGGGGACTGCCTTGTAAAAGCCGCCCCTGCCCATGTGACTGGACTGCAGGCCCGAGGGGATGCTCTGCTGCAGCAGGGGCTCTCTTCCACCCTCCTTCTGTCACAAGTCAGGCTGGCCCAGGCCTGAGGGAAGGCACTTTGGGGACAAAGTGGGGAAGGACAGCAGGGGACTGCTGTCTGGTTTGGCATCAAAGACTTTCTCCTTATGGTTTGGGGGATGACAAAGGGGGCAAGACTTTGCTCCTGGGTGTTGGTCCCAGCTCCAAAGCCTCCCCCTGGGTCCACAGCTCTTTTCCAAGGATGCTGCCACACGGGCCTGCAGGGTCTCCCCCACCCCTGGCGTTGGCACATGAAAATATAAGTTACCCAGGACCTGAGGAAGCCCAGGGCAGCAGTCTGTTCTATGGCCCCAGGCTACACCATTCGTCACAAAGTGTTGGGGCGCTCAGCAGCCGATCCCCGGGCATCTCTGCAGTGCAGGGCCACCTTGGGGCTAGAGCCAGGCTGCCGGGGGTAGGCGCCTTCCCGCACCAGCCGCTGGCACCGCATACCCTGGCCCACACTGATGCTCTGCAGTGACGGCAGGTGGATGAGCAACGTCTCGGGCAGAGGCAGCAGGCCTGTGCCTGACAGGTCCAGCTCCTGCAGGGAGCCCAGGCCTGAGAATACCTCAGCTCCTGCCCACTTGAGCTTAGGGTTGCCTGACAGGTCCAAGACCTGCAAGCTCTGCAAATCATGAAAGCCATAGGGCGCCAGCTGGGGGAGGCCTTGCAGGCTGCCTAGTGACAGGTGTGTCAGGCCCGCCAGCCCCCTGAAGGCACCGGGGCCCACGGCAGCCAGGGGATTGCCATCCAGGCTCAGGTAGCGCAGGGGCAGGTCCCGGAGGTCAGGGATGGTGCGGAGCCGGTTCCAGGCCAGGTTCAGGCTCTGGATGGTGGGTGTGGGCAGGCTGGCCCCCGCAGGGTGGGGCACAAGGCGGTGGATGAGGTTGTGGGAGAGGTCCACGTGCAGTGCCCGGCCCTGGCTGTGGGTAGTGAAGGCCGACACCGAGACCTCCCGGAGCCGGTTGTGGCTGAGATTCACGTCGCTCAGGGGTGAGCTGGTGAAGCTTTCCGCCGGCAGGGCTGCCAGGCCGTTGTGGCTGATGTCAAGCGACTCCAGGTAGCGAAGGCGGGAGAAGGCGGTGGGCGAGATGCTGGTGAGCAGGTTGTGGCTGAGATCCAGCCCAGCCAGTGTGGTATAGCCTGGCCCTGCCAGCACCGACTCATTCACAGTCTCCAGCCGGTTAGAGGACAGGTCCAAGTGGGCGGTGTCCAAGGGGATGGGCACGGGCACGATGTGGGGGCCCAGGCCACTGCAATCCACGCGGGTCAGGCTGAAGCTGTCGAAGAGGCCAAAGGTCTCCACCTCGCACTGGCATCCGGGGAAGCATGGCCGGGTCGTCTGGGCCCTGCTCACAGCAAGCAACAGCAGTGGGGGCAGCAGCAGGGGCCACAGCATGGTGGGGGCTGGAAAGAGAGCCACAGGTGAGGGACGGGAGCAGGGACCCCATACCAGATGGTTCTTACCCCACCACAAAAGACATGAGCTGGCCTGTGTAGGCGCAGCTGAAAGGTGCCACCACTACCTATCTTCCCAGGATTCCTGGCCTGGAACACTCTTCCTTGTGTAATTCCTGGTCCCCATTCCTCTCTGGCCTTGGTCTCTCCACCTGTATGGTGAAGGGGTTAGGCCAGATTGGTGGATTTTAAACTGGAAGCAGCAGAACACTTTCTTAAAAAAAGATTAGCAGGTAAAAGCAGGCATGTTCTGGCTGATGTGAAGGTGGGACTTGGAACTTCCAGGCCTGTTTACAACCCTGGTGGAAATCTCCTGGACTGGATGGGTCTTTGGTCTCCCTTTCCAGCCCTGATGCACTAGGGTCCATGGGCTGGTCTTGCTCCAGATCCTAGCGGGGAGGGGCTAGGGTGCTGGGGGCCATCCACCCCTGCCACATGTGTTGGGTGCTGGGGGCTGCGCTACCTGCCTCCTGGTACACACTCCCACTGAACCTTCACAATTACAGGAACCGCAAGGCGGCTATTTCTATTGCCACTTCATGAAGAGAGAATGGAGATGCAGAAGGTCCAGAAAGCTATGCACGGCCACATGTACGGGGGGATGGACCCAGATGGAGTATACAGGAAGCATGATTCACTGTCATGGTTTCGCAGGGGCTGAGCCATGTCTGAGACTCACACGCCATCCCCCGAGACTGAAGCCTCTCCCTGCAAGGGGGGCCTGCAATAACTGTCCCCATGCCTCCCCTTTTGTGGGTAACAACAGCTGAATCCCTAGGCCTAAGCCCCCTCCCTGGCCTGTCCTCTAGATCCATGCAGGATCCTTATTCCAACTGGGGACCCTGTGTCAAGACTTCCAGATGGGCTCTGGGGACACCTGTCCAAGCCTCATTCCCCTTGCCCTGTCCCTACCCACAGCTGATACACTCTTAACGCCCCTTTGGCCCTTCCCCTAGCCCAGGGCAGGCAGCTGGGCTGATTCCTTCATTGTACCGATGAAGAACTAGAGGCTCAGAGAGGAACAGGGTTTTAGCCCAAACTAATAAAAGTAGGACAGGATTAGAACCCAGGCCTGTTCGGGATCCCTGGGTGGCGCAGCAGTTTGGCGCCTGCCTTTGGCCCAGGGCGCGATCCTGGAGACCCGGGATCGAATCCCCCGTCGGGCTCCCGGTGCATGGAGCCTGCTTCTCCCTCTGCCTGTGTCTCTGCCTCTCTCTCTCTCTGTATGACTATCGTAAATAAATAAATTAAAAAAAAAAAAAAAAAAAGAACCCAGGCCTGTTCAATCCCAATTCCCCTCTTTTCATCTGCTTTCCTCCATCAGGACTGGTCAAGTACCCAGTGGAGATAGTCCCAAGAGGCGCTTTTCCCACTGACACATGCTATGACGCAAGCCACGTCCCTTCCTGGCCTCAGTTTCCCTCCTGTACAATTGTAACAGGAGCTGCCAGCGACGCCAGCACGTACATTGTCACATTCATTCCTCACACCCACGCACGTCTGTGTGACCCAAAGCCTGAGTTCATGCCCACTGCAGCTCCAGGGACAGATGTGCTGAGGGAGAGGCTTGCAGGGGGATGTGGGAGGGCTGAGTAGTAAAAGCCTCCTACCACAAAGTCTGTGGCTGCCTCCTCCTGCTACACAGTGTCCACTCCACCCAGGGGACAGAAGGCACCTAGCCTCTCCCCAGCAGGTCTCTTCATCTGGGGTGGCCCTGCCCCCTGCCCGGTCTCCCCCACCATCCCCCCTATCCCTCCCACTGGCCCTCGGGGAGGGAGCAGCTGGATAGCATTACTGGCCCTACATGAAACTTTAAAGGGGCAGCTATCTGATCTGCACTCTGGCTCTACAGAGAGCAGCGAGAAGTGGGGCTCTTCTCTCTGCCCCCCTTCATGTGGGCCTCTCTTCTCCCACCCCTTTCTTTTGTAGAGTCCAATTTGAGGATTAAACCCAGCCCAGGTGCATCCTGGACTTGGTCCCAACTAAGACAGGACGGAGTGTTCCAATGTCTGGAACCAAAAGAAAAATATTGAGTTACTCCAAGCCCCCTTTGTTCTGCTGGTTGAACTTCTCACCACAGGGACTCATTACTACCCAGAGCCCCACCTTCCCTGCCAAGCCCATCTGCCCATACCCACCTTCCTGGGGTTTAAACAAACACAGCACACACACAAAAGCCCTGAGATTACCCTTTGGTTCCCAAAGGTGATAATACAACATGCTTATTAAATGCCAGATGGCCCCTCGTGAGCTCCTGCTTATGTAACCCGCAGCCCGAACACAGCCCAAGCCCTCTCCTCTAGAGCAGGGGCTTCTCGTCGCCCTCCCAGGCCTCCACCTGTCCTCTGCACTACAAGGCAATAATTCCTGCCCTGCCTTCTTCACATGACGTGACTCAACTCCCACCAAAGGGCAATGCAGACTGTGAAGAGCTGTGCACCAGTGCAAGATGGTCATACCAAGCCACTGGAGACAGGGCAGCTGACTTTGTAAAGGGGGCAGTAGTGCAGGTGGAGGCCCACCTGTGTACCTGTGCTTGTGCCTGTTCCTGGAGCACCCTGGACGAGGCCCGCGCCCAGCCCTGCACAGTGGCCACCTCGGCCGGGGCCCCTGTTCTGTGCCAGGCCTGGACATTCCCAGTGGCAGGTGGTCGGAGCCAGTGACGACGGGCTAGGGCTGGACTCGCATTCTCCCCCGCGTCTGCAGCTACTCCTGGAGGTCAGCTGGTGTCTGTTTTAGAGGACATGGAGGATGACACAGGGGAGGTGGGCAGAGACTGGAACTGTACTGGGCTGCAGTAACCTCACAACTGGTTCAAGTGGAACGCACGTTTCCGTACTTTGCTGGGAAAGGAGGAGGGAGGTGCCATGGTCTTTAATACTCAGTGGCTCTGGGGGAGCAGGGGGGCTTTCATGAGCTCCCAGCAGAGCTCCGAGGTCTCTCGGGGGGTGGGGTGGGGGTTGGAGATGGTCCCAGGCAGTCAAGAGAAAGGAGAAATCCCTGAGATGCCTTACCACTGTGGAGGCGTGGGCCAGTGTCTGAGAGTCAGGGTCCCTGTCCTGAGCAGAGGAAGTCCCTCCTGGGGTAACATCAGGAGGGGTGCCTTTATAGGAGTGTCTCAGAGATGCTAGGGCCTGGCACTGTGGCTCCATGCCCTTAGCCAAAGGCTCAGGAGCCAAGGGAAAGGTGGAACTTTCTCAGGGGTAGACTGAGGAAAGATAAGGAAAATTCTCACCTTTATAGCTCTTTATAGTTCATAAAAGGCCTTTGCTCATTTGCTGCCACGAAGGCTATAGTGTGGGGTATGCAGCCGGGCACCTTAGTGACGAGGAGGCTGTAGCCCACTGTGCGATGACTTTCCATGGCCCCCTGGCAAGGTGGTGGCAGCCCATGTTCAGGCTCTGGTCTCCTGATTCCGGGCTAGGGTTTCCCAGCCCACTCAGGATGGCTGCTGAAGTCTCCTGGGCATCTTACGGAGTCCATAAAAATCATGCTCAGAAAAGTCAGCGGCCTCATAGAGGGGGCTGATGCCATAATGCTAGGTATCATAAGGATAAATTGCATGTCTAGGAAAATTATAACTATCCATTTAAAAAAAAAGAAAAACAACCAACCCAAACCCTAATTCTGGAAAGTCTAGAAGAAAATATATCCACCCAACAGTAGTTTTTCTTTAGATTGTAGAACTTTGAGATATTTAAACATGTCATAATCTCTTTTTCTCCCCCTATTTCCTCTCTTATGGTGGAAATATATATAAAACACACTGAGAAACACACTAATGAAGCCTCCTCAAAGACCATGGCCATCTCTTTCTCTGATCTTGGCTAGCCATGATCTCGGAGTCTCAGTCTCTCCATCTGTAAAATGGAGAGGTGAATAGCTACTTCACAGGACTGTCATGGAGACGAAATAAAATGGTGACAGTTAGGCACCTGGCAGGATTCTGAGCACATGGGAAGACTGCAGGGTGGACCACCCTGCCTTCCTCCACGGATAGGGAACAGGTGTGTGGTGGGGGCAGCAGGTGGGCCTGACCCATCTCTTCCTCCTTCCTTCGGCACACGTTTGAAACATGTCAAAGCTCTTATCGGCACCCTCTGGGAGAGCAGTTCTTTCCTGGGAGGCATATTGTTTTTCAACAGGGCTGCTGGATCGGAGAAGGGATGAGCAATGTGAGTTCCCCTGGACAGAAACCACCAGCCTCAGCTCCGTGAAGAGGAAAGATCTTCAGAGAGCCAGAAACCTTGGACGCTAACTTGCAGTGAAGACCAGGTGAGTCACTTTACCAGTCCGGACCAGTTCCTTAGACTGAATTTGGACTGGTGATGGTGGTCCCATCAGCTTCGGAGGGAACGGTTGTGAAGATGAGACTTGGAAGCTGAATATTCCCATAGAGAAATGAGGCTCCAGGGAGGTGGAGGCCACATGATGGAAAGATGGTGTCTTTTGATCCTACCTACAGCCATACCACACTGTGGAGGTCACTGCTCAATCACAGCATGCCTCCTAGGGAACCGCACTGGGCCTCAGAGCTTTTCCTGACGTGGTGCTCTAGGAGGCCTCTACCCACTGATCAGGGTTGATGAGAACTGTCATCCTGGGATCAATTCCCTGATCTGAAGGAACTATGATACTGGGAACAGGAGTCACATGCCGAATTGGGCAACTCTGGGAAGTGACTTCCTCTCAGCCAGTTTCCTCACCTAAGATGGAGACAACCCCTTCCTCCGGGAATTGCTGTGAGGACCAGAGACCACAGTGCCAGGATCTGATGGATGAGCCACTGATGGGTGCTTATGCCTCTCCTAGGCTGTGTGGTAGGAGCCCCCCGGGAGCCCCTCCCCACCCCCTTCCCCACTCTCCGGGGGCTGAAGGGGAGGCAACAGGACAACTGTGCATGGTGACAAGCATGGCCTGTCCACATCTATGGACACATCCCCTCTCCTCTTGGAGTCTCAGCTCCTCTGGCTTCGCCCAGACAGTGCAGCTCCAGCATCTCAGGAGTTCAATTCGTGCCAGAAGCATTTACTCAATCTCTCTTAAATACAGGTGCTGTGTGAGGCCATGTGAGGTATATGTGGGGTGAGGGTGGGGGTACCAGACCTCACAAGGCTTACAGACCAGCAGTGGGGACAGAAGGGCAACCCAGGACAGGGTCACTAACACCTGCCTTGGCCTCTAGTGCTGGGTGTACCCCCATTGTGTGACCCTCAGAGTTTTATTTCTTTGGGCCTCAGTTCTCTCACCTATGTAACAGTACAGACTCTGCCTCCCTCTGGGACCCTGTGATCTACCCTGGGGAGAAAGGGAAAGGCAGACAGGTGGCCATCATCGAAGGCAAGGGAGGAAAGGGATCTTTGGCCCAAGATGTAGCCGTGCTTTTCCAAACCCCAACCTGCAGATAAAAGACCCTGATCAGCCTGGTTACAGAACACACAGACTTTACAACCTGCCCACCCTGGGTTTGGGGGGCATAGCATAAGGTCCTCTGGGCAGGGGCCAGGAGTTATTCCTTGGTGGAACCACTGTGACTCTAAGGGAAGTTTGCTGATGGCCCTGTGAGGTCCAGAGACTAAATCGTGTGGCTATTTACTGGCAGACCCCGGGAAGGTCCCCCTACCGTGACACCCCAGGCTAGGAGAGCCTCCAGGACAGCTTTGGTTACTTCACTCCCCTTCTCAAAAACCTCCCAACTTCTACTTCTACCTCCAGAAATCAAGTTCACTGTGGCACAGAGGCACCTGCGGGCTGTCCTCACAGCCCTCCCTCCCCGAGCTGATCCCCTATCTTGATGTGAACCTACGGTGGTGAGCTCTGCAGAACTCTTTGCCCTTGCTTGCACTTCCTCCAACTCAGAGAATTCCGAGTGGGGAACTGCAAGGTCCCCCAGAGAGCACGAGTAAGAGTAACCGAGGGGGTAGTGACAACAAGGAAATGGCAGAGCAGGGCCCAGGACCCGGGTTCCGATGCCTGACTGCTGCTGGCAGCACCCGCATCCACCTGGCCTGGCCTGGCCCTGCCAGCAGAACAAAACCTGTTCTGTCCGACTCAGGCCCCGGAGCCACCTCTCCCACTCCGGCCTCTCACACCATCCACGTGCCTCCTTCGGACGCATACTGACGACATTCTCTACTGTTATTTACCTGCCTGTCTCCTGGCTTGAAGTGTGAGCGGCTTGGGGCAGTGACTCTGCCTTCTTCACCTGTTCACCCCTTCCCTCTTCTGGGGACAGAGCCAGGCCTGGAGGCCATGGCAAACACTGTTGGATGAATCAACAGGCCAGTAATTCAGGATTAACTGCTGGACTCAGACCCAGCTATAAATCCAGCCCCGTACTTCCTTGCCTTAGGCGAGTGTCAACCTTGTTGGGTCTCAGTGTTCTCAAAAGGGACAACAACACAGGGCTGGCCAAAGCCTCATGGGATGGTGTGTGAAACATTAGGCTCAACGTCTGCCTCATGTTAAGTGCTCGATGTGTGGTAGTCAATGATGCTGATGATTTATTAAGCTTCCAGAAGGCAATGGCCGTGTTATTCTTCTTAGGTTTTTCCCTTCCCAAGTACCCAGCGCAGTGCCAGGCACCCTGGCAGGTCTGTGACTGCTTATAGTAACATTCTCCAGGCAGTGTGCTGGTGTCGGCTGGCCAGGCCCCAAACTCCCTCCTCCTTCTCTGAGATCTATCTAGAGCTCGGGGTACTGGCTTAGGCCTGTCTAAGGCCCCAGGTGCCTGCTCCTGGTGCCACACCACAGCATTTCTGAGCCAAAGATTTGCCAGCTTCTCATGACAACTTCAAGGGGGAGCCCCTGGCATAGGAATGAGGTGGGTGGGAGGCTGAGCCTTGGGCTGGACCAGGGCCCTAGCACCCACCTGAGACTGCTCAATGCTGAGCTGCCTCCCACCCTGCTCCCTCCAAGAGCTCACTCCAGCTGATGCCAATTTCCCCCAGGTGGAAATTCCATTAACATCCGCTCCATGCCCCAACACCACCACCCACTGTCTCCCCTCCCCGCCCCGCCCAGCCAACCACTTAAGTCAGCTCTGGAAACGCAAGGCAGAAAGAATTTCAGGGCCAAACTCCTGGAGCCTTTAGGACTGGCTCTTCCAGCAGAATTGCTAATGCCACACATCTGTACAAACACGTCAGCTCACCACGCACTTCTACATCACCACCTCCTCTCTGCCTCATCAGTCTTTGACCATGGGGATTACTCTATTTTGCAGACGGCTGGCATTATTCAGTGGCGTAGTAGAGGAATCAGGTCTCAAACCCAGATGTCTGAGCTCCAAATCCCTCATACCACTGTGACTCAACTTACAAATGGGCCCGCGTGGGCAACGGCTAGAGCTGATCCTGCTGGACTATGATTATGTTTACCAGTCTGTCCTCCTGTGAGCAAGGATGGGGTCAGATTGGTTTTTATGTCCTTGTAGCTAAGCACTGGAACTGGCATAAAGCAGGTACTACATGAAGATGTACCAGGCATTAAAATACTACTTCACCAAAGAACACCTCTGAACCTTTCCAATGCCTCAACTATGACCTGTTCGGTCACCCTGCAAGATCAGCAGGATAGACGGTACTGTATCTATCCTACAGCTATGTGAAGAGACCCAGAGAAGTTTGGTGATCTATCCAGAGTCATGCAGCCAGTGAGGACAGAGGCTGGACTCAGGATCCAGGTATTCTGACCCCCAGTGCCTGGCCTCCTCTATGACATTATCCCTGGTGCAGGTGGGCCCAGCAACCTTGCCCGAGGAGGATGTTCTACAAGGAAATAGGCAAGACTCCCAAAACTGTTTTCTCTGCTGTGAAAGGCAGCCTGTGTGGACTCACGGGGAGGCAGTCTGGGGCAGAGGAATGGGTTTTGCAGCCAGGCAGACTGGGCTCTGACCCCAGAGTGCCTCTCCTGCTAGGAGGCTTACCTGTGCCCTCACCCGAGTCTAAGCTTTCATTTGTAACATGGTGAGAATTCTAGTATTGCTCCCAGCAGGTCACTGGGATGATTACACAAGGTAAAATGAAGACTTAGTCCCAGGGCTGGCACGCATTGGTGCTCACTGCATGTGGGTTCCTGCCCCCCAATGGCTGCTTTCAGGGGCCAGGAAAGAAAAAGGAGCTGAGACAACAGAAGGTCAAAGATAAGGCAGGGGCAGAGCTTAAAGAATCCAAAATGTACCCAGAAGCCTTGGATTCTCTCCTAATGCACCATCCAGGGCCCTGCCTGGGCTACAAATGCTGGCTGACCTGGATCTATCAGGGAATTGGGAAGGGGTTTGGAAAGGTTGCAGAAGCCAAAGCAGGCTGAAGCAGGTGTGTCACCTGTGACAGAAAGAATCAGCAGCCACACCTGGGTAGATGGTCACGGTCTCCACTTCTTCCCCCACCAAGCCAGGCAGTTACCTCCCCCTGCCCAGGTTGGGCTCAGGAGGCCTCCTGGCCTGGACTGTTACAACAGCTTTATTCCTGGGCCCCTGCCTCTGATTGTCAGCCTTACTGTGTGCTAGAGTACAATCCCAGCAGAAGAACAGGACCTCACCACTGCTCCCACTTAAAACCTATCCTGCATAGAGAGCTTGCCAGACTAGGAGCCTATCTTGCTTCTGTCTTGCAAAGGCCTATCACGCCTTTGCATCAGTTATTCCCTCTGATGAAGAGGACAGAGATGCTCTTTTCTTTGTCTACCATGCACCGTCCCCCTGGGCTCTCGTGGCTAGGACTACAGGTGAAGCTTGCTCTGCCTTCTTTTTTTTTTTTTTTTTAGATTTTTTATTTATTCATGAGAGACAAAGAGAGGCAGAGAGAGAAGCAGAGGGAGAAGCAGGCTCCATGCAGGGAGCCCAAAGCGGGACTTGATCCTGGGACTCCAGGATCACACCCTGGGCCGAAGGTAGGTGCTCAACCACGGAGCCACCCAGGGATCCCTGCTCTGCCTTCTATTGTCAGTGCACTCCAACAATGTAAGGCAGACTACAAACCTCGTCTCATATTGTTAGCACATGTAAGTCACCATCCTATTTAACATTCACAACAGATTGGTGAGACAGGAATTACTCTGCTCACATTTGAAGGATAAGAAGACTGAGAATCCGAGGTAAAGTTACTTGCCCAAGGTCACAGGGCTAGGAAGTGACAGAGTGGGAATAAAATCTAGGTCTTGGCTCAGCTCTGCCTGCAGATTGGTCTCCCAGTCTCCAGCACAGCCCACAAGCCAGAGGAAGTTTTCCTAGAATGACCAATCCTACCCTATTATGCCTGTTTAGACCCTCCAGCAGCTCTCTACCACCTGCAGGTTCAAATCCTGGCTCCTAGACCTGGCATTTAAGGCCCTCCTATTTGGTCCCTCTCTTCCCTCCCAGCTGAATTCCAATCCCCACCCCACCTCAACACACACCTTGCACCTTACAGTCTGCAATGCTGACCACCTCAGTGCTGTGATCAGAATACACTGAGCCATATAGTGCTGCTCCCTCCCTGGGAGACACTTCCCGCGCCTCCTGGCATATTCCCGGGGCCAGCCTCTGCAGCTGCATTCCAGCCTTCCTTCCTGGGCTGCAGGGGCTCCTGGCCCACCTCACTTCATCCCTCCCTAACTTCAAAGCTGTGGTTTGAAAGGAAAGCGCCAGGGGTTGCCTCCTTTCCAGGTGAATGGCTTTTGCCCCTCCTTCACATCTGCAGCATCCGCACAATTTTAGGTTAAAGACTGGGGCAGGGTGAGGGGGCAGGGAAAGGAAGGTGTTGGGGCTATCTCCGTGACCCAGGATCAAAGGCCCAAAAGACTCCCATCTCTGAGAGCTCCCTCTCGGGTCAGAC